CCTACATCTAATATAGGACACTGACTTTTGGTTTAGTTGAGACTCTGAAATTACTTTGATACAATGCATAGCCCGCATATATTCATTAGGAAATTTCACATTTTATGTGTGTCTGAAATTATTCATCTAAAAATCTGCAGGTTTCAAAGATGCTATTGGACTGATTGGAAACTAGTGACTTTTGAATGAAAGACCTTTTGAGCACACAAATGAATGAACCAGGAGAGTGCAGCTGTGTTTAGAAAGAGGCTTTATAATAGTCCCAGGGAGAATTTATTAGGTATTCCCTCTTAATTATTTCCATATAGTATGCTCTCAGTTAATATGTTAAAGATCATCTCTGTTGTCAACAAACCTGAGCATTCTTAGATTTATAAAAAATGCTTACATTTGTTAATAAAACTAATTCATCTAACACTGCCAAGGTGTGCCCAAGGCATGTCCTAAGGAGAAGTTTCCTTAAAGTTTACAGAGTGAGGCTGTAGGCTTCAGTGAGCAGCAGACCCGTGTTTACTGTGTTAAATACCTTTCTCCTCTTGCTACATATCCCAATCTAATAAACACTTAAAAGAACATCCCATGGGAACATATTATAAATGGAGCTGAGCTTTTCAAAAGCTAAAATCATTTGCCTTTTCATCTTGTTTACCATTTCACAAAATGGGGTTTCTGTTACGTGTCATCTGTGGCATAGGGAGAGGCAATGTTAATTGGCTAATAAAATTCCTATTTGATGAGGTAATTGGCAAAGGACCTGTAGCAGGACTGCCATTCCCACTCACCCTTGGAGGCTTCTGCCTCTTTTTTGGTCCTCAAACAACAAGTTGATATTAATTGAACTGCAATTGCCTCAGGCTGCACATTGGGATTTATTGAAAATTGTTTCAAGTTCAAGGATTAAGATCAGATGGGACTTTCTGCTAAAAAACAAACATTAAGGAAAGTGCATTACATCATCAGCTAAGAAAAATTTGCTTTATTGCTCATTATTTCCTCGGCACTGTTCACTAGGAAATAAATTCAAATAGCACTTTAACATTTTTATTGCAATGTTCTGCACTTTGCAATTCAGTAATTTTCTTTTAGTTAATGTTTAGTTCAAAATGCTGTGATCTCTAGTAAAATGTTCTTTATTTAGCTGTATTAAAGAACTGCTTATTTATTTTGAAGATGTCTGTTCTTTTAGACAAATGATTGATTTTATTATTACTTCTTAAGCTTTTTAATAATAGTATCTATAGTTTTTGGATTTGTATCGAAGTGATTTGTATATTTAGCCTATATTTCCTTCTCACACTATTGACAGTCATTACAGAGTGGAACCCATGTTTTACTCATCTTTACAGTTGTTGGCTAATAAAAGAACGTTAAGAAGTGAAGTTCCATAGAAATTCTTTCACTAGGATTCTACAGTAAAAGAGGGATTAGAAACAACTGTTAGAAACAACTGATACGTGAGATTAGAGAAATTTAAAAATACTTGTGGGAGATGGCATGTTCTTATCGTTGGGAGTACAAAAGTTCCAATTGAACAAAACTCAGGAATTTCCCTGTGTTCTTGCTGATTAAGAACCAAACACTATATGCATGAGTATATGCATCTAAGACACATGTATATATTGTGATGATATGCATATGGTCTATACAGAGAGAGGATGAAAAATGTATTCAAATATGAACTAGGGAGTATATCCATGTATGCATGTATACATGGAAAATATAAGCTATGCATTTTAATCAACAAAAAAGTCTATAAAGTATTTATATCCCATTTATGTGTGATGCTTTCAAGGAACTAAATGTTATCCTCTTAAAAGTTTGACTAGCTTCATGTAAAAGAGGAGGACGTTTTTAGTGAATGCTAAATTATTGATGTTTGTAAACATAGCTAATTATATTTGAAAATATAATTAGAATAAATTTGTGGTTCTATAGCGAGATTAGAATATTCTAGCATGAAAATCTTGATTAAGTGTTATAAAAATAATTCCAAACTATTCCTTGTCTTAGACTTGGTACTGTAGATTTTTTTCATACAACTATGGATGTCAATAAAAATTGTTTTTAGAGCAGCTTAATCTGAACATTGCATATGTAATGGAAGATATTTTAACCTACTTGATTCAGTAGAGATACAAACCATGTGACTTAGAAAGATTTAATATTGAATTAGAACATACTAGTTAAAATGTGTGCTTGAAGATACAACCTTGAAGGCTAGTCACTTAAACAAGTGAGACATGAAGTTATTCACTTACCTAAAAGGAAAGGGACTTGGCTGACTTAGTTCTCCCATCACTGCTAAATGTGATAAATAAAGTTCAAAATCAGTTTGGGTTGCTGTGTAGTGTAACTCCTGCAAAGATAAGTTAAATATCATGTTAAAGTGAAAGAAAATTTTATGTATGATAAAGGATTTTTTTTTTTACTTAGTTCATTGGACAATCAAAGGTACTAATACTGTTCAAACAGAATACTATGGGTACACCTTTATTTTGAAAGAAATTAATGTCATGATAATTAAATGAAAAATGTGAGACTGGATGGATACAAACCACCTGACACCTCTCCCAAAAAGTCCAAAAAGTGACACACACACACACACATATAATTTATTATATATGTATCATTTTAAAATACATGTTTATAATTTATATGTTGGATATATTTATATGTTGTTAATGAGAAAATTGGCAAATTTGAATAATGTCTTTAAATTGTTAATTTTATCAGTACTGACTGTTTATATGAGTACTCTACCCTACTGTGGTTATGAATGTCCTTGTTTGGAAATCTTGGGTGAATGGTACACAGAAAACTCTAGTAATATTTTTGCAACTTTGTAAGTCTGAATCAAATCCGTTCTTTTAAGTGGTATGTTAATGACAGAAAATAGGTTAAGGTATAACTAGGCTTTAAGGTCTATATTACCTATTAGCACCTTTTGGATGGAAATTTGGGAAAACCTACTAGGTTTTAACATCCAATTTTGCATTTCCTTTTCTGGTACTTTCCTCTTGGAAATATACACATATGTTCACAGAGATACTTATTGCAATGCTATTTTGTATTAGAAAAGAAAAATAAGTAAAATGTCTGCTTCAAGGAAAGTTCAATTCACACATATTCTTGCTATAGAATATCAGGGGACAGAAGATAGGCTTACGAATACCTAAAATGTCTTCAGATAGAGAGGTCCACAAGACATGTAAAATTAAAATTCAAAAAGTTGTTAAATTAATGCATAAGGTAAAGTCCCACTAATGTTGAATCCCAATATGTTAAATTATCTTTCATATTTAAAAAATGGGTTTAGGCCCACGAGTTTATGGACACCTAATTTTTGATAAAGGAGCAAAGAAGATACAATGGAACAAAGAAAATTTGTTCAGCAAGTGGTGCTGGGAAAACTGGGTAGCTACATGCAAAAAAATGAAACTAGATCA